CCCACACACACACTCACACCCACACACTCACTCACACTCACTCACACACACTCACTCACACACACTCACTCACACACACTCACATACTCACTCACACACACACCTCACATGCTCACACACTCACACTCACTCACACTGACTCACACACACTCACACACACACTCACACCCACACACACACAAACACTCACACCCACACACACACTCACACACACACTCACACACACACTCACATCCACACACACTCACACCCACACACACTCACACACTCACACACACACCCACACACCCACACACTCACTCACACACACACACTCACACACACACTCACACCCACATACCCACTCACACCAACACACACTCACACACACACACTCACACACACTCATACACACACCCACACACCCACACATTCACCCGCCTCGCCCCGGTGGTCGGTCCATCCGGCGACCTCCGCAATGCACGTCCAGCGGTGCTGCTAAGCGTTCCGCCACAGCCGCGGCGGTGTCCGCCACTAGGTCCACTCAGCCTGAACCCGTGCTGCGTGCTCTGTGTTCCTGTAGGTGCCGGTGGAGACGCAGAGAAAAGCAAGCAGGTTCATTTCAAGTCGGAGCAGGTATGTACGCATGCACACACGCACACACACGCACACACACGCACACACGCGCACACACGCACACACACGCAGACACACGCACACACAGACTCCACTTTCTCAGGCTATGGGCCCGAGGAAGTGGAGTCTGGGCCCCCCCCCCCCGCTCACCACAGCATGAACGCCACTCACTCGTTTTGGTCTGTGGATGCAGGAGACCGCTCAAGAGGCTCGCAAGGTCAACCACAAGGAGGTCATCTGAGCCGCGACAACGCAGCACCGCACACATAACACGCACACTCACTCAACACACACACACTCAACACACACTCACTCAACACACACACACTCAACACACACACACTCAACACACACTCGCTCGCTCAACACACACTCACTCAACACACACTCGCTCAACACACCCACTCAACACACACTCGCTCAACACACCCACTCAACACACACTCGCTCGCTCAACACGCACTCACTCAACACACACTCACTCAACACGCACACTGAACACGCACACTGAACACGCACTCTCTCTCTCTCTCTGCGTCTCTCCCTGCGTCTCTCCCTGCATCTCTCTCTTCTCTCTCTCTGCGTCTCCACGCGTCCCGGCGCAAGCGACGTCCGTCGCGCCTGCGTTAGTGGGATGCCAGTGTCGCGATAATAAAAACAGCAATCTACCAAAAAGCAATGGCGGAAGGGAACCGAGGCATGGGACGACGACTTGCGACGGCGACAGATGGAGCGGGGAAGCAGGAGGAGGAGGCGCTAGAATGTGGAGGTGACGGCGTGGAGACGTCAACAACAGGAGGGGCCGGCGCCACGTCGCTGATCTCCACCTGCGCAGGGTCCTGACGTGGCGGCGGCCACGGGGAGCGGCCGGACAAGCGGCTGGGGGGGGGGGGGCAGGCCGGGAGATGCACTTGGTTCAGCGGCGCCGGGTGGCGGTGGCGTTTGGTTGCGGTGCGCGGTGATCGGTCGCGGTGATGGGTCGCGGTGATGGATCGCGCCGATGGGTCGCGGTGATGGATCGCGGTGATCGGTCGTGGCGATCGGTCGAGTCGATCTAGGGGGGGGGAGGCCCAGGGGGACCGGTTTGGATATTTCGCCACCGTCGTTGGCCGTGAGCGGGAATTGAACCTGGGGTGGCCGGGTTCGCAGCGCAGCACGCTAACCGCTGCGCCACCGCTCCCTGTTCCCAAGTGCATGCAGTCGCACGCACACGTACACACGCGCGCACACGCACACACACGTACACACACACGCGCATGAATACAACATGTGCGTGTCTAGATTTTGTAATCGATGAGCAGTCGTTTAGTCCGATGCCGCGCGTTTTGCTACCGTTCTTTTTACGTTGAAGTTCACGTTTCTTTTTTTATATATTACATCCAAATTCTCCACACGGCTTTTTTTGCATTTGTGGGACGTGAGTCCGATTTACAACGGAGACATTTACGGAGGCGGAAGATCGCACATCTCTCCACGTTTGGTTCACCCTCTCGTCATTTAAACTCCCTGCCGCCTCCTCCGGGAGCGGTGGCGTGCGCCCAGCCCCGTGCACCACGTGTGACGAGCCCCTCACCACGTGCCCCTCACCACGTGCCCCTCACCACGTGGGGGCGCTCGGCCCACGTGACATGAAACCTCACCACGTGGGGGCGCTTGCTCTGACGTACCCCTCGCCATGTGTGACGTGCACCTCGCCCCGTGTGACGCGCCTCTCATCACGTGACGAGCCCCTCACCACGTGATGGCGCACGCCTCGCCTCGTGCGACGCGACGCGCCGGGTGCTGGGCCGGTTGCTCGCTGAGATTATTGACCGTCTGCCTTGGGGGGGGGAGGAGGGGGGGTTGAAGAATATCCACTAATTAATCACGACAACGGGAAACTTGAATTAGACGAATAAAGAGGCCAAGCTGCAGAGCATCGCGGGTGGCCCCTCGTGACGGAGTCTTGTGCAGGAGCGGCATGTCAACGTTGGCAACGCACGGCACAGCGTCGCGTGCCCCGCTCGCTGGGGATGGATGCGGATATGCGAGAAGGGTCGGATCTGCGACGTTGCTGCGGCGTGTTACCTCGCGCTGTTTGGTGCTGCCGCCGCCATGTCCATTGCGGTGGTCGTGGCCGAATCGTGGGCCGGGCAGTGCTTGGGTGGCGAACACTCGCGGCGCGTCACTCGGGAATGTGGGCGATGGCGTGGGAAGGGATAACGGCGAGCGGCCAGCAACTAACGGTGGTGCCGTTGATGTTGGAACACATCGGGCGTTGTGTGACGAGGGTCTTGAATCGAGCGGGGTTACTTATTGCGGATGATGATGATGGGAGGAGGGAATTCCTCGCGAGTGGAGAAGCGCGAGGGAAGAAGCGGAGAGGGAGGTGCCCTAACCTGCCGTTCAATGCCGAAGAGGACAAGGGCTTCTGGGTAGCCCCCATGATGCATTGCAGCCTCACTCAGCTCGTGGTGCTATTGATGGGACGACGCTCGTCGCTCATTGCTTGACGTCCGTTATTGAACCATTTGTGAAGTCGTCGTTAGGTCGTGGGCACGACAGGGTAGCGGTGGTGGTAGCGTTATAGTGGTGACAACACTCGCGCCTCGCAGTAAAAAGTCCTGGGTTCGACTCCCGACTGGGGCTCCTCTCTGTGAGTCGAGTTTGCAGTTTGCGTGTTCTCGCCCTGCTCTGCGTGGCTCCCTCCGGGCTGTCTGGTTTGCTCCTCGAGATCAAATACCCCCCCATACAGTACCACTGGCGTAGGCCGAGAAACAATCTCACTGCTGCGAAACTCGCGTGCCGATCACTCCACGTGGGATCACCCGCAGCACGGAACGTCTACCCCTCTACCGCAGACACTTGGCAGGACCCTCTTGAGCACGAGCCTTGAGACTCTTCGGTGAGACCGTCCCGGCTGAACGAGCGCCTTCTCTGAATGTCAATCAGCTCCAGCCACCTCGCCGCCCCCCCAGCGAGTCTCGTGACCTCGTTTTTAGGAGGGTCCTGCTTGCTTACATCGACACGTTTGGCCGTCAAATTCGTTTGGCGGCGGAGGTGGCAGTGGTGGTGGTGATTGTGTGGGTGGTGGTGGTGTGGGTGGTGGTGGTGGTGTGGGTGGTGTGGGTGGTGGTGGTGGTGATGATTGTGTGGGTGGTGGTGATTGTGTGGGTGGTGGTGGTGATTTTGTGGGTGGTGGTGATTGTGTGGGTGGTGGTGTGGGTGGTGGTGGTGGTGTGGGTGGTGGTGGTGGTGTGGGTGCTGGTGGTGATTGTGTGGGTGGTGGTGGTGGTGGTGAGGTGGCCTTCCCTCTGTGGGAGCAAACCAGAGAGCCCTGGAGAAAGCCCCCCGGCACCACGCAATGAATTCTCACCGAACATCTGTCGCCCGGTTAACCCAAACACCAAACCATGTTTGAAGGCAATTATGATTTCCAAGTATTTGTTTTATACGTATTTTATTTTATACTTGCGTGCCTCTGTATTAAGCCAGTTGCTTTAGTGTATAATTGTTATAGTTTAAGCCGGTGTGGGTGTAACCGCCGCGAGTGAGTGCTCTGGGCTTGTATGGACCGCGTTGGCGACACAAGGCTCGCTCCGGGCAGCACAGGAGGAGCAGGGTTGGTTTGTGTGTCTCTCCGTATCCGCTGTTGTGTAACCGGCGCGGTCCGTGTAACGAAAGAAAAGCCACAATAAAGCCACAACGGCGATTGTGAACCCGCCGCTGCGTTGCGTGTCACTTAGATTCCATCTCCACCAGCCTGTGCACCCAGCCGTGTGAAGGGTACTTCATAACGCGTGGCGGGTCAAGTGCGGGTCCAGTAAGTCCCCGGTTTGCGGAACACCCGACTTACGGAATCGCTCCCATACATCATGTTTACAAATAAAATTTGCGAAATGTTTGCGTTAGTTGCGTAAGAGCACAACTAGCGCAGCGCGCGGTGACTTGACGCCTCCTCGCTCCGCCCAAACGCCGCCTTCACCCACCCAGCCTCTGCAGGCTGAAGGTGAATGGAACTTCACGTAGCGTTACGTAATTGTTTGTTTTCTATGCTTAGAACTCTTCTTTTCCCCATGTTTATATTGCTAGTTTTCAGTGTATTTCATGAGTTATTCACTGTACCCACTTTATTTCACACAATTACATTTCTATTGCTTAGGGACTTGGCGAACAGTGTTAAAATGTTTCGTGGTATTCATCAACAATTGGATAGAGTAAATGTCCCATTAGTTGAAGCGTAGTGTTAGGGTAAGATATTCGATGAAGTGAAATAATCATAGGAAGTGCAGAGCGCATATTCTTAGGTTTTTCGGTAAAGTCACGTAGGTAAAAAAATTAAAATTAATAAAAGTAAAAAAAATCACGACGTTTCGGAGGCAACACAAGCTTCCGTCTTCAGGTCGAACCGTCACAGCACGAAAGCTGTATCAAGTGAGAGAAATTCCAAGAAAACAGTCCTTGTATAATTCTAGATTTGAAGCTTTCGTGACTGCAAGGATTCATATTCTTAGGTTTTATCGGTAAAGTCACGTAGGTAAAAAATGTAAATTAATAAAAGTAAAATAAAACAAAAATCACGACGTTTCGGAAGCAACACAAGCCTCCGTCTGTGACGGTTCCACCTGAAGACGGAGACTTGTGTTGCTTCCGAAACGTCGTGATTTTTTATTTTGTTTTATTTTACTTTTTTAATTTTCATTTTTTACCTACATGACTTTACCGAAAAAACCTAAGAATATGAGTCCTTGTATATATACTGGTTGAGGGTGGGAGGAGCCAAGAGCGCGTGGACAGCGATACGAGCCACCCGGGTGGCGATGGGCAGCGGACTGCAGCGCGACACGGAGCTGAGATGAAACGGAGCTCGTCACTGCGTCGTCAGTCGGGGAGGCACAGGCGCAACTTTTGACGCCCAGTGGGGAGTTTATCGTAGATTTTGGGGGGGGGGGGGGGGGGGGGGAATGTTCAGTTCCCGAAATACGGAAAATCTACATCTGCAGAACGTGAATAAGCAGTGGCATCTACAGCTACAGAACGTGCAGAAGCAGTTGCATCTGCAGAACATGAAGAACTAGTGGCATCTACATCTACAGCTCGTGAAGAACCAGTGGCATCTACATCTCGTGAAGAACCAGTGGCATCGACATCTACAGAACGTGAAGAACCAGTGGCATCTACAGCTATAGAATGTGAAGAACCAGTGGCATCTACATCTGCAGAACGTGAAGAACTAGTGGCATCTACATCTGCAGAACGTGAAGAAGCAGTGGCATCTACATCTGCAGAACATGAATAACCAGTGGCATCTACATCTGTAGAACATGAATAACCAGTGGCATCTACAGCTACAGAACGTGAAGAACTAGTGGCATCTACATCTGCAGAACGTGAAGAACTAGTGGCATCTACATCTACAGAACGTGAAGAACTAGTGGCATCTACATCTGTAGAACATGAATAACCAGTGGCATCTACAGCTACAGAACGTGAAGAAGCAGTGGCATCTGCATCTGCAGAACATGAATAACCAGTGGCATCTACATCTGCAGAACATGAATAACCAGTGGCATCTGCAGCTACAGAACGTGAAGAAGCAGTGGCATCTGCATCTGCAGAACATGAAGAACCAGTGGCATCTACAGCTATAGAATGTGAAGAACCAGTGGCATCTGCAGCTACAGAACGTGAAGAACCAGTGGCATCTACATCTGCAGAACGTGAAGAACCAGTGGCATCTACATCTGCAGAACGTGAAGAACCAGTGGCATCTACAGCTCGTGAAGAACCAGTGGCATCTACATCTGCAGGAGGTTATACAATTTGTAAAGCCATTCCCCGTGTTGAGTGCACACGCCGTACAGCGTGTTTGGAATGGACAGGAGTCAAGTTGGACTTACGGACAAATCGATTTACGAACAGACCTCTGGAACCCAACTCGTTCCTAAGGAGCGGAGTCCCGGTTTTTAGAAACGATGTTAATTATAATCACATCAACTCGCGATGTGTTGTCCTCTAGCGACCTCTAGTCACATCAACTCGCGTTGTGTTGCCCTCTAGCGACCTCTAGTCTCATCAACTCGCGTTGTGTTGCCCTCTAGCGACCTCTAGTCTCATCAACTCGCGTTGTGTTGCCCTCTAGCGACCTCTAGTCTCATCAACTCGCGTTGTGTTGCCCTCTAGCGACCTCTAGTCTCATCAACTCGCGATGTGTTGTCCTCTAGCGACCTCTAGTCACATCAACTCGCGATGTGTTGCCCTCTAGCGACCTCTAGTCTCATCAACTCGCGATGTGTTGCCCTCTAGCGACCTCTAGTCTCATCAACTCGCGTTGTGTTGCCCTCTAGCGACCTCTAGTCTCATCAACTCGCGATGTGTTGCCCTCTAGCGACCTCTAGTCTCATCAACTCGCGTTGTGTTGCCCTCTAGCGACCTCTAGTCTCATCAACTCGCGATGTGTTGCCCTCTAGCGACCTCTAGTCTCATCAACTCGCGTTGTGTTGCCCTCTAGCGACCTCTAGTCTCATCAACTCGCGATGTGTTGTCCTCTAGCGACCTCTAGTCACATCAACTCGCGATGTGTTGCCCTCTAGCGACCTCTAGTCTCATCAACTCGCGTTGTGTTGTCCTCTAGCGACCTCTAGTCTCATCAACTCGCGTTGTGTTGCCCTCTAGCGACCTCTAGTCTCATCAACTCGCGTTGTGTTGTCCTCTAGCGACCTCTAGTCTCTCAACTCGCGTTGTGTTGCCCTCTAGCGACCTCTAGTCTCATCAACTCGCGATGTGTTGTCCTCTAGCGACCTCTAGTCACATCAACTCGCGATGTGTTGTCCTCTAGCGACCTCTAGTCACATCAACTCGCGTTGTGTTGTCCTCTAGCGACCTCTAGTCTCATCAACTCGCGATGTGTTGTCCTCTAGCGACCTCTAGTCTCATCAACTCGCGATGTGTTGTCCTCTAGCGACCTCTAGTCACATCAACTCGCGATGTGTTGTCCTCTAGCGACCTCTAGTCTCATCAACTCGCGATGTGTTGTCCTCTAGCGACCTCTAGTCTCATCAACTCGCGTTGTGTTGCCCTCTAGCGACCTCTAGTCTCATCAACTCGCGTTGTGTTGTCCTCTAGCGACCTCTAGTCACATCAACTCGCGTTGTGTTGCCCTCTAGCGACCTCTAGTCACATCAACTCGCGATGTGTTGTCCTCTAGCGACCTCTAGTCACATCAACTCGCGATGTGTTGTCCTCTAGCGACCTCTAGTCACATCAACTCGCGTTGTGTTGCCCTCTAGCGACCTCTAGTCACATCAACTCGCGATGTGTTGCCCTCTAGCGACCTCTAGTCACATCAACTCGCGATGTGTTGTCCTCTAGCGACCTCTAGTCTCATCAACTCGCGTTGTGTTGCCCTCTAGCGACCTCTAGTCTCATCAACTCGCGTTGTGTTGTCCTCTAGCGACCTCTAGTCACATCAACTCGCGATGTGTTGTCCTCTAGCGACCTCTAGTCACATCAACTCGCGATGTGTTGTCCTCTAGCGACCTCTAGTCACATCAACTCGCGATGTGTTGTCCTCTAGCGACCTCTAGTCACATCAACTCGCGATGTGTTGTCCTCTAGCGACCTCTAGTCACATCAACTCGCGATGTGTTGCCCTCTAGCGACCTCTAGTCACATCAACTCGCGTTGTGTTGCCCTCTAGCGACCTCTAGTCACATCAACTCGCGATGTGTTGTCCTCTAGCGACCTCTAGTCACATCAACTCGCGATGTGTTGTCCTCTAGCGACCTCTAGTCACATCAACTCGCGTTGTGTTGCCCTCTAGCGACCTCTAGTCACATCAACTCGCGATGTGTTGCCCTCTAGCGACCTCTAGTCACATCAACTCGCGATGTGTTGTCCTCTAGCGACCTCTAGTCACATCAACTCGCGATGTGTTGTCCTCTAGCGACCTCTAATCACATCAACTCGCGATGTGTTGTCCTCTAGCGACCTCTAGTCACATCAACTCGCGTTGTGTTGTCCTCTAGCGACCTCTAATCACATCAACTCGCGATGTGTTGCCCTCTAGCGACCTCTAATCACATCAACTCGCGATGTGTTGTCCTCTAGCGACCTCTAGTCTCATCAACTCGCGTTGTGTTGTCCTCTAGCGACCTCTAATCACATCAACTCGCGATGTGTTGCCCTCTAGCGACCTCTAATCACATCAACTCGCGATGTGTTGTCCTCTAGCGACCTCTAATCACATCAACTCGCGATGTGTTGTCCTCTAGCGACCTCTAATCACATCAACTCGCGTTGTGTTGTCCTCTAGCGACCTCTAATCACATCAACTCGCGATGTGTTGTCCTCTAGCGACCTCTAATCACATCAACTCGCGATGTGTTGTCCTCTAGCGACCTCTAATCACATCAACTCGCGATGTGTTGTCCTCTAGCGACCTCTAATCACATCAACTCGCGATGTGTTGCCCTCTAGCGACCTCTAATCACATCAACTCGCGATGTGTTGTCCTCTAGCGACCTCTAATCACATCAACTCGCGATGTGTTGCCCTCTAGCGACCTCTAATCACATCAACTCGCGATGTGTTGTCCTCTAGCGACCTCTAGTCTCATCAACTCGCGATGTGTTGCCCTCTAGCGACCTCTAGTCTCATCAACTCGCGTTGTGTTGTCCTCTAGCGACCTCTAGTCACATCAACTCGCGTTGTGTTGCCCTCTA